TGGGCGGGGGAGAAATCCAAATAATAATAATAATAATAATAATAATAATAATAATAATAATTATTATTATTATTTAAAAATTGTGGGTTATTGTTGTTTCCCTTCCTATTTTTAACTCTGCTGGGCCTATTTCAGGCTTTTTGTGGCAGTTTTCAACTAGTTCCCATATCGAAAGGGTAGGAAATGATGGCTTCACTTTTCAAGAGTCATGGTGAGAAAGAGCTCCAGAACCACAAGAAGGGGACTTGGGAATGCATGTGGTGTGGGGCCACCGGTTATCCACCAAGGTTAAGCAAACCATAGCTCAGTGTGGTATATGATCACAGCCATTGTTGTGCATTGATCGTAGCAACTAACCCCACGGTTAATAAATATCAAGTATGGGGAGGATAATTTCATTTTGTTCTGATAACGGTGCCATAATGCCTTGGTTTGACATGATCAAATCATTTATTTTCAAGCCGTTTAAATTGTGTGCCTCTTTAGATGGTCCCTGGCTCTTGTATGGCGTTTGCTTATGACTGACTTAGATTTTTCTGTTTTTACTGATCATGAATGTTATCTACGAATTAGAAATTGATCTCTAAACCTAATTAAATAAGTAAACATTGAAGTTCGGCACTTCCGCTTTTGGGCAAGACCCTTTCAAGACTGGGGGTTGGGGGGGCACGGGCAGAACAAGGAATTACATAAGAACAGAATTAAGGAGCAGAACTGCTTTTAGTCTAATTCAGCCCACTATTTTTATGTCTTTAAACAACTACTGAATATTCCCAGTGGAATTGTCACCCATAGCCCTGGTAATCCTGAAGAGTTATTAGAAAATTTGAAGACTGGGATTCTATGATCCTGTAATATATTAATGTCATATTATATGTCATGTATTAATCTGATATTAATCTGCACCTGCATAATCACGTACACACTCATGTATTTAACTGCACACCTTATTCTGAATTAAAACGGTGCCTCCCATTTGCCCCAAAATGGACGTTGCCAGCTATCTCAGAATGGAAGCCATCGGCTTCCTGAATGTTTGTTACGATTCTTTTATGTTGAATGTTTGTGATGATTCACCTTCAAAAACAGAACCGGAGCAAGTTTGCTGAGAGGGAGTCACGCAAAACTACAGCAACTAGTCAAAGCCAACCTTTGCAGAGTCAGACCTGGTCAGTACATGGGAAACCTCCAGAGCAGTGTTTCTCAACCTTGGCAACCTTAAGAGGTGTGAACTTCCACTCCCAGAATTCCCCCCCCCCCCCCCCC